GTACAGAGTTGATTCAGCGTCAGTCACTTCTTTTCATTCAAGCATTCAAGGTTGTCCAAGGTTGTCGAAGATAAACCTGTAACAAAGCAACAAAAACAAACAAACAAAACACGGAAGTCAACACTTTCCAACTCTCAAACTTAACTTAATCGTCAGCATTTTTCAACATCAACATAACTTTCTTTAGAACTTTATCAGAAGTCAAAGACGCCACCACCATTTAACTAATGATGCTGTTTTGCAGGTACTAAACAGACGCCACAAAGGCGATCGCAGATGTATCACAAGATCTTTATAGAAGTGACAAAGACGTCACCACCCGAGCCAACCAATGAGAATGCTTTGCAAGTTCTCAACAGAACTCACGTCAAAGACAATCGCCAATGTATTGCAAGATCTTTATAGAAGTCACAAAGACATCACCACACCAGTCAATCAAGAGAATGCTTTGCAAGTTCTCAACAGAACTCACAACCAATATAATTCTTCGATGTTTTGCAAGTTCTAAGCAGACGCCACAAAGACAATCGCTGATGTATTGCAGGATCTTTATAGAAGTCACAAAAACATCACCACATTAGTCAATCAACGAGAATACTTTGCAAGTTCTCAACAGAACTCACAATCAACATAATTCGCCAATGTTTTGCAAGTTCTAAGCAGACGTCACAAAGACCATCACCAATGTATTGCAAGATCTTAAAAGACGTCACAAAAGACAATCGCTGATGTATTGCAAGATCTTTATAGAAGTCACAAAGACATCACACAAGTCAACCAGGCGGTGTGCGTCACAAGATTCGACCAATCAGAATGCGTCATTTGTAGAGTGATTTTCACGCTCAGAAAGAGCCGTTTTCAGAGGTATATGTGGTGAAATTTTCGCTTTATTCCAAGCTTGTGTTGGTAATTTCGACACTATACCACCGTGGAAAGTTGTTGGAACACTTTATCTTGATAACAGTTGCGTTACTTTTAAATATTTTGCTTTCTTGAGCGTTTGTGACAAGTTTGTATTGCTCGGTCATGTGCAGGCCGTCATGATGATTTGAGCGTTGCTTTTGCCGTTCTTCTTGGATTTATTGCTGGTTACTGTTAGCGGTTTTATCGAATTATTTTGGCCATCTTGTTATGTCAACCTTTCTTCTTTGCAAATTTCGACGTCTACCTGGGTCTACCCCTGTTAGTTTTCCCGTTATGAGTCGTTGAAAGTGTCTTGGAATTAAGACATCGTCTTAGCCAAGTGGCTCAACTCCCGGGAAACAGGCTGAGAAAACATGCCGAAGCGGAAGCCGACGTGAAGCGAGTAACGCCAAATCCAGGAAGAGTTTGTGCTATTTTAAACCACAAAAGGTAAATAAGTTTGAATATTGTAATAACCTTTGGAAAAAAAAACATTTTTCATAACCCAGTGCAGAAACTGTAACGTTAAATTTCAGACCCAATAATTTTTCTTCTTGTAATGCCAGTGGTTTCTTGAATATCATAGGTATTCTCATCAAGCATCTTTCTACATTGCCTAACAAGACCAATAGCTTCCTCTCCTGTCTTAACAGTATACTGTGCACCTTTGTGATGCACAGAGAAAGCTTCATACAAACAGCCAATTGCACTAAGAAAGTGGGCACACTTTTTTAATTTGGCGCAGATCTTTATTGAGTTCGTTTGTGCGTCACAAACATACACAACATCAAATGTGTATTGCCCTTAATGCACAAAATGACAGAATAAATTTAACCCTTGAGTTGATAAATGTATAATGAAATAATTCATAGTTTCATACTGCTTAGCTTTTTTAATGTTCACTGAGAGGATCATAATTCACTGGTATCTAAATTTAATCCTTTAATTATTGAATATTATTAAGTGAAAAGAGTTTAGATTTTCAACTTGTATGTTAAGTTTTATCATTTTCTGTGAGCGGTTAAATGGGGATTTCTGTTATTTGTTCCAATATTAGCTGTTTGCTCACTGTTTCTCCTTTGATCAGTCCAAAACTCCCTCCTGTCTTTTAGGTCTTGCTCCCACACAGCTCTCAGAACATCTGCTTTCCCACTGCCTTCATCTGATGAATCATT